AAACTCATCACTTAAAGAAGGCCGGGAAATCAGCTGACTTGGACTGCCTCATGCCTTAGAAATTTCTCAAGTCAGATCTTCCACTTCTGATGTTGTCTCTCTCGCCCATCGAGCCGAGGCCCAAGCCGAAGCCGAAGCCTATTGGGCTTTGACCCAATTTGATATCGCAACCAAAATAGCACTTAGAGCTTGAGGATATTGAGAAATAAACACGCTTAGAAGAGAAGAATTCCAGCAAAACCGCCAGCGGAAGCGTAAGCAAAGCGGCGGAGACCTAAATCGAGGCAGGCGTCCCGTTTCGCATTCAAATCGTGCCTCGTTGAAATCTCAACTTTGCTCTTGTTGACCATATTTTCTCTCACAGCTGCAAGAAGAAAAATGGGAGGGAAAAAACTAGCAAGCACCCGTGTAATACACGAGTATTGTACTAGTTAGACACTAATATTAAAAGTTGATATATTTTGAAAAACAATATATAGGCTTAACCATTAGTCATTCGTTTAAAAATGTGATATGTTTTTGAAAAACAACATAGATGTATGGCGTTTAATAATATTAGTTATTGGTATAGCAATTGTGTAATACACATATGTTAATTAATAATTTAAACTTAAAAACACTAAAATAAAGTAAAAGCTTTATTTTGATTTTTAAAAACATTTAAAAATTAAATTATTATTAGTTTTTATTTAATTGAAACTCATCACCGGCAGAACTCATATATACAAGCATTTTTTTTTTAAAAATTATATATAAGATATAGATATCAAATCAACCATAGTCAAATTATATTTAATATAATATATTATATATAAAAAATTGATAAACAAAAACTAAAAAAAAAAAAAAAAAAAAAAAAAAAAAAAAAAAAAAAAAACGAGCGATCAAAGTGAGGTTAACACAATATAGACGAAAACACAATATAGACGAGATAAATTACTCTCATTGAATGGTAGAGAGCCATCATTAGACGAAAACACAATATAGACGAAACCACAATATTTTCTGTTTTTAGTTATTTTGTGTTGTGCCGTGCTATTTAGGCTACCTTGAGTAGACTTCATGTATTCGAATAATTAGCCGGTTGTAACTATGAGTTTTCATTAATAAAACTATTATTTGAAAAAAAAAAAAAAAAAAA